CACACTCATACCACTGCACTTAACTCTCTTTATTATTGCTATGCTTTGTGTTTCATGATGTATGTGTTGCAGCTTAGTTGATGATGTGCCGCACGATCAAAGACCCAGTTTAGTTCCTGACCAACCAATGCTATAGGGAAGTTTCCATGACTTTGTTTACTCGCTGCGTAATGTTAACTTGAGTTGATTTTGAGCACGCGTGACCCTTTCCTCTTTACCCCTTGTGCATAGTGCATTTTTGGTCATCGAGGGCGATGCCAAAGTTTAAGTGTGGGAGAGTGAATTGGGCATTCGGGCAATAGTTGTTACATGTGATTATTAGAGTTAGCATGCGCAGGTATTAGTTGTATATTCGTAGAAAAGTCATGTCAAAATTTTGAAAATTTTTCTTTAAACTGTGTCTTTGTGAGCTGGCTAGCGTTTTGACTATGCTTTTATGACATTCTTGAAGTGTTTAGGCTTAAATTTTTTGCATGGTAATATAGTTGTTGAAAGGATGAAAGCATTAGTCACCCATTGAATTTTCCATTAATCATCCCCCCACTTGAAAAAAATCCGTGAATATTTTTGACATAGTTTTGATGTTTAGTGAACTAAGGGATTAATTTGTTAAGTTTAGGGAATTTTTGTAGGAGCCATTTTTGACACTGTTCCTATGCCCAAATGGGGTAAGAGCAGTCACTTTTTAGGAATTTGATACTTTCGAGGATTGCATTGTAGGCATGGATTCACTTTGAAATTAATGAACTTAAATTGCTAGTTTTCCTTGGTCAGGCCGAGATTAGAATGGGGTAATGTCTAGTGAGAATCCGAAAGGTGAAAAATTAATATAGCTAGACCTCTTACTTTTCGAAAAAGGTAATGGGAGCCCCGATCAAAAAGCGTAAGATGAGACTTGGGTATCTTTCAAAAGAAATGGCGTTCTCGTGCCAACATGACAAGGAAAACTGAACCTAATTAATTGAACTTGGAGGCTATTGCAAAAATTAGCTTTAGTCCTCCGCGTACTTCAAGTATATGTCAAAGCAGAAGTGTGTCGAGACGGTTTAGCTTAGTTGTACACCATGTCTACTCTTTACATAGGTTTAAATGATTGTTCCTAAATTGTGGCCTACTGAGTTCCTTGTTCCTAAGAATAGCCCTGAAGTTCCTGAATGCATTGAGTCTTTGTTAGAATATTCAAATCTCTCAAAAGAAAGGGACTATTATTATTATCCATTCACCATCACCTTCACAAGTCCTTCTGATCAGTAGCTAGTTTATTTGTGTAGGCTGTCATTACTTTGAGGATGTTGTGAATAATTGTGTCAAATAGTTTAGCTTGAGTTCAAAGATGTAGTTTAGGGAAGAATTTTCTTGGTTTAAATTGACTGTCCTGTAAATATCCCTTTAACTACGTGTGCATGCTAACTGTTTTAAATTCCATGTGGTGATTATCGTAAGTCCCGTTGTTCGATTTGCTTGAGGACAAGCAAAAGCTTAAGTGTGGGGGAGTCTGATAAGTCCGTATTTGAACACGCATTTGATGCGTGTTCGGGTCGGATTTTGATGGTTTTCCTAGCTTTAAGGCGTTGCAAGTCTCAATTTTGGCTCAAGTTGTGATTATCAGGCGTTGGATCGAGTTTCATTGCATTTGGAGTCAAATCGAAGAAGTTAAAGTCCGGCAATAGGCGCTTGAGAGGCATTCGGGAAGGATTTGTAGGCATTCAAGAAATATTTGAGAGATTTGGAGGTCACCGGGAGATTCACGACGAAATTTTGATAAAGAAACAGCATTTGGATCGACCTCGTAGGCATTCGGGAGCGTTCGGAACAAGAAACGAAGAAAAATGATGAAGAAAAGACCAGGCACGACCGTGCCTGGGCCAGGCACGACCGTGCCTGGAAGAGGAAGGCACGCAAACATTCTGCCAGCCAGGCACGATCGTGTCCTGGCCAGGCACGATCGTGCCTGCACCTGAGACGCGCGTTTCTTCCGTAGGCACGATCCCAGGCACGATCGTGCCTGGCATCGTGTCTGGCCCCGATTTGTCCTATTTCAGCTCAAACTCTACTGTTTTCTATAAATAAGGCCTCCATACCCCTTTTTAGGGGTTACGAACATTACGGAGAGGCCTAGGGACGAATTTAACTCCGTTTTTACGCTATTTTCTTCCAAGACCCTGGGATTATTTGTAAGTTCATCTTTGTAATTAATGACAATTTATTCTATTCATCTCAATTCTGTTGATTCTTCAATTATGAATTATGAGTAGTTTAATTAGGGATTTGGGGTTGATGAAGGGGTTAATCATGATTGATGGCTAGATTCCTTTCGGTTTAATTGCATGAATGTCCGTTTAATTTGTGTTTGAATAATTTAATTGATATCTCTTGTAACCTAGACTGCAGCTAGAATTACAATTGCATGTAGAATAAATTGCGAGATATCTAATTTGTTCTAGGACACATTCACACACACTTAATCGCTCGCTAAGAGATTAGTAACGATTAAGGGGCCGTAAGCTCGCTCGTCTTGGCAATAATTTAGGATCATGTCGCATGAGAGATCAGCCTGGTCCCCTAAATTATTGTACTCTACGCCGCGAGAGCGGTAAGAATTTAGTAATGATTAGCTAGGCTCAATTAAATTAAATTCATGTAATTAGGCCTGATCTGCCAGAAATCTGGTTACCCTGTAATCAATCCATGTTCCCTTCATCGTTAATTAATAAGAAAACCACATTTATTTTAATCGCTCATCTACATTAGTTTTAATTTTAATTCAATCAACCAATCTCGCACATCGCATTTTAATTTATTTATTTATGTTTAATCGCTGAATTTAGTTAATCTTTAATTCTCTTTTGTCCGTCCCTGTGGAGACGATACTCGTACTTTCAACCACTTTTCTACAACTATTTTAAGTGCGAGAAAACACACATCAGCATGCTATTAATAGTAGTAAGAACAGTAACCACTGAAAATAAAAAAGAATTGGATCACAGTTTGAGAAACAAATTTAGTTAATGGTACATTATGTACTAAAAAAAAACGGATCAAATTTAGGGGCGTGTAATATTTAAAGGAGAAAAGTGTCAGTTTGGTACATCAACTTGGGAGCGGGGGAGTAAAGAGTATCTGTTGATGCAATAGTGGCTGAGAAGTACATAAAATGGCCAAATGAGTGTTAATTCAGTACTAGGTTGTATTTAAGCATAATTAATGCTGACATGACCAAATGTTTACTGATGTGGCAAAACTAAAGATATAATCAAACAACCTTAATGTTCTTCTCTCCTGGCTCTTGCGCTCGGCAGTTTCCAGAAGCCGCAGAAGGCCGCCGCCTACATACGATGAACAATACGTTCTCAAGAGGGACTCTACTACTCTAGGAATAAGTTCTGAACGAGCACTCCAGCCTCGGATGCAGGTCGTCCTCACTCTGGAGCATCACGCCGAAGCCTTTGGATATGCCAAGGAGTATCAACGGTGGCTCGAGAAAGCTTCTCATCATCGGAAATCTAGCCAGTCGCTTCCATCTTTCCTCTCCGGAACCCGTTTCTGAAAGTTGCCGCCCGCCAGGTGAAGGTTGGTCCGTGTACTGATGGGAGATTTGGGAGTTGGTGGTGGATTGCAGATCTAACAAGGGAAGATTTGGCCGATTACATCTCTGCAACGAAGAAGAAAGATGAGAAAGCAGAGAGGCAAGGCGAGCTCAAAGAGGAGGACCGGCGGAGAGAAGACGCCATGCCACCATGGCCGTGCGAAGGAGAAGGCTTTGTCGCTCCTTTGCCCCTAGAGCTGCGAGCGTGCGAGAGATGAGCGAGAAGACCGACGACTAATGAAGTGTTTTCCATTAATCGCCAACTCAGCATTTTATCCCACTTAATGTCTGGTAGGACTAAATTAGCACTGATTAGCAGAGTTTATGTACCTCTCAGTCTCGATTGCATCATCAGATACTCTTTACTCCCCCGCTCCCAAGTTGATGTACCAAATTGACACTTTTCTCATATTTAAAGAGGTCTATGAAACTTCTGCAATTTTTCACTAAAATAATGTTGTGGAATGAAACAAAGATCCTCATCACTCATTTATAATTAAGAAGATACCGTAGTGATACTTAATCAAACAAATACTTAATGGCTGAATTTAATTGCGTTTTTTTCTGCTTTGTTCTTGAAGACCCTGAGATTCTTTGTAAGTTCCATCGTTTTAAGTAATAACAATTAATTATTTTCATCCCAATTCTATTGATTCTTCAATTATGAATTGTGAGTAGTTTTAATTAGTGATTTGGGATTCATGAAGGGCTTATTCATGATGTATGGCTAGTTTCTTGATGGTTTAAATTGCATGAATCTTTATTTAATTTGTGTATGAATGTTTTAAATGATATCTCTTGTAACCTAGAACGGCCGGTAGAATTACAATTGCATGTAGAATCAATTAAGAGAGCTCTAATTTATTTTAGGACACCTTCACACACAATTAATCGTTCACTAAGAGATTAATAACGATCAAGGGATCGTACGCTCGCTCGTTTTGGCAATAATTTTAGATACCTGTCGCATGAGAGATCAGTCTGTTTATGTAAATTATTGTACTCTAGCCGCGAGAGCGGTTAGAACTTAGTATTGACCAGCGTTGCTGAATTAAATAATTTTTATGTGATTAAGCCTGACCAGCCAGAAATCTGAGTACCCCGGAATCAATCCCTTTTCCCTTCGTCATTTATTAGAAAGAACTCATTAGCTTAATCGTTTTATTCGCATTTTAATTTTCCAACAACCAATCTCGCACAATTGCATTTTATTCATTTTTGTTTTAATCGCTGAATTTAATTAATACTTAATTCCCTTTTTCCATCCCTCCTGAGACGATACTCGTACTTGCACCACTATTTTACTACTTTTTTAAGTGCGAGAAAATTCACATCAATGTCCTAGCGGTTCGATATGATGATGACTCAATGGTGGTTCCTTTCTCTCGCCGAGCCTTTCGATTTTGCCTTTTTTTTTTTTTTTTTTTTTTTTTTTGGTCAAAAACTCAATAGCACGAATTAATAGTCTAGTATAATCTAATTCTCGTGATATATAATGTCCTCTGCAGAGCACATAAAGACATTTGGTTTGTGCATGAAGCATTAAATCATCCAAAAATAGAATACATATGAAACTCTTGAACATTTCAAGTACATCATTCAACTCCATCTCCATCGTTCAGCTTGAAAAATGGTATCATGATGCCTCTGGGGTGGCACTACAATTGGTTTGGTTTTGTGCATCTTTAGCCTTTGTTTGTTCGCTCAATTTGTTTTGGCTTTCTTTACTTGTTTCCTCTTGAGGCCTCATAGCTGGAAAGAATATGACTTCCTTGATGTTTTGTGAGTCAGTTAAAATCATTGCAAGTCGATCAATACCAATTCCCCATCCAGCTGTAGGTGGTAATCCGTATTCAAGTGCTGTGCAGAAAGTTTCATCAAATGCCATTGCTTCATCATCACCAGATTGCCGGTCCTTGAGCTGATCAGCAAAACGTTGACGTTGAACAAAAGGATCATTCAACTCAGTGTATGCATTGCAAAGTTCGTGCTTGTTGACAAACAGCTCAAATCGTTCAGTCAACCCAGGCTTAGACCTATGCCATTTCGCGAGTGGACTCATTATTTCAGGATGGTTGATGATAAAAGTTGGATTAACACACATCTCTTCAAGGAAGTGCCCGACAAGTTTGTCGAGCAATCTAGATGTAGTCTGAGGGGGGGCACATCTTATCTCAAACTTGGTGCATGCATCCGCTAGATACTTGTTAGCCTCATCACTAGCAAGATCCTTGGGTATACTGAGATTTGCCACTTTCTCTAGATCTTCGATCATATCAATCCTTCTAAAAGGTGGGGTGAAGTCTATCTCAATAGGTTCTTTATCCACGCCATTTGCGTGATACTTGATTATATAGCCACCTGTAAGCTCCTTCACCATCCCACTAAGCATTTGCTCAGTAAGTCCCATCAAGCCTTTCGATTTTGCCTGGCGAACTTTTCTATCTCGAGATTAGTGGTTTCCTCCTCTTTGAATGTGTATGCATAAACAAATCAAACCTGCAAGGTTAGATGAGAATTGTTTTACGAAAAACTAAAACTAGTCGCTGAAAATATATAATTGACCCTTAAAACCGACACTGTTCCCGATAACGACGCCAAAAACTAATGTTAGTTTTCTCGCACTTAAAAAGATGTGGCAGTATATGGTATAAGTACCAGTATCATCTCCACAGGGACGGAAAAATGAATTAAATATTAAATAGTTTCAGTGATAAAAATAAATAAAATAAATGCGATGTGTGAGATTCGGTTTTGAGAAATTAAGGAAGCTAAAAATAAAATAAATTGAGGGTTCTTTATAATTAATGACGGAAGGGAAAACGGATTGATTCCATGGTCAACCAGATTTTGGGACTTATCAGACTTAAACACATGAAAATTATACAATTGAACAACGCAATAATTAAAGCTAAACAAATGCTTATGTCCTAAATCTCCTAATGTAGTAATGTAACCTTAAATGATATTAGCTTAAAACGCATAATATTAAGGAATGCAATGTACATCATTAAAGTAGATGGGTTTATTTAGTCCATATTAATTAACACACATGTAGTTAAGAATCAACATTATTGTATACTATGTATATGAAGTATACATTCAGACGAACATTATCCACGACATTTATTACATATTCTACATACATATGCAAATCCATATGGTCATATAAGATCAAACGAGCACGATAACATAAAAGCCACATAATAACATAGTACATAGAAGGGAAATACTAACATTGTAGTATGGCTTATAGGAAGAACACTATTATGGTGTTTGTGTTGGCTATTATGATTCCTTTGTTAACATTTGCAAAAGATTCACCGCCAACCCTTACCCCGGATGATGCTGCATACCAACTTGCTGCTAAAAAACATCTTTGTATGGTATCTCGGCTAGATGAGTACCTTGCTTATCCGTATAATGGACGTATTACTTATGGTGACTTGGAGCGCGTTGAAGATTTTTGTGATAAATATGAAAATTGTAATGTACTTAAGAATTGAAAGATTGTCCTCCCACAAACTAATTACAAACTATATTATGTGCAACCACCACTGATGTGAGTTTTCTCGCACTTAAAATGGTTGTAGAAAAGTGGTGTAAGTACGAGTATCGTCTCCACAGAGACGGACAAAAGGGAATTAAGAATTAACTAAATTCAGCGATTAAAAAGAAAATAAAATAAAAGCGTCGTGCGAGATTGGTTGGTTTGGAAAATAAAACTAATGCGAACAATTAACCTAGGGGGTTCTTTCTAATTAATGACGAAGGGAATAGGGATCGATTCCGGGGTAACCAGATTTCTGGCAGATCAGGCCTAATTACATGAAATTAATTTAATTGAGCCTAGCTAATCATTACTAAGTTCTTACCGCTCTCGCGGCGTAGAGTACAATAATTTAGGGGACCAGGCTGATCTCTCATGCGACAGGATCCTAAATTATTGCCAAGACGAGCGAGCTTACGGCCCCTTAATCGCTACTAATCTCTTAGCGAACGATTAAGTGTGTGTGAATGTGTCCTAGAACAAATTAGATCTCTCTTAATTTATTCTATAACCAATTGTAATTCTAGTGGCCATCTAGGTTACAAGAGATATCAATTAAATTATTCAAACACAAATTAAACGGCATTCATGCAATTAAACCGACAAGAATCTAGCCATCAATCATGATTAACCCCTTCATCAATCCCCAAATCCCTAATTAAAACTACTCACAATTCATAATTGAAGAATCAATAGAATTGGAATAAAAAGAATTAATTGTCATTAACTAAAAAGGTGGAACTTACAAAGAATCCCAAAAGATTGATGAACAAGGCTGAAAAGCCCTCTAAATTTCGTGCTAGGCACTCTCTCTAAGCTCCCCCCCCTTGAAAACGGGGGTTTACAGGCTGTTTAAATAGAAAAATCGGGTGAAATTTGAGCTGAATTAGGATTTTCGGAGCCAGACACGATGCCAGGCACGATCGTGCCTTCGATCGTGCCTCCGGAGCAAAAACGCGCATTTTGGGCAGGCACGATCGTGCCTCCCTCCAGGCACGATCGTGCCTGGCTGGCAGTAGCTTCCCGGTGCTTTTCTCTTCAGGCACGATCGTGTCTGACTTTGAGGGCACGATCGTGCCTACTTAACTTCCGAATTTGACATAACGTCCTTCATGAAAGTTGTAGATAATGAAGTCCTCTATCCACCCCAATTTGCCGAATGTGATTTGAATCATCCAATCAAGAGATATGATCAAAACGGTGGAAGGTGTCTTTCTGAAATCGCAGCAGAGATCATCTGACTTCATCGTCTGTTTTCACCTTCTTCCTCTCAGATTCTCGCAAAGGTGTCTTCATATGATTTATAGACCTTGAAGTTAGCTTTCATATGGAACTTGAATCGTGTACATTGGATGTTTATACAAGGAGATATGCTTGAACGATTGACAGAAGGTCATTCTGATCGTCGTTTTCAAGCTTCATTCATCTTCTTTTGATCCCGAAGCCAATCCTAGAGCTCTTTTTCCTTCAAATCTTCATTGTGAATATTCCGGTGACCTCCAAAGCTATCAAATCATTCTCAAATGCTTCTCAAATCATCCCGATTGTTCCTCAAATGCCGGTACCAGGCTCAAATTCCCTGATTTTGACTACAAACAACACAAAACTCGAACCAACGCGCGGTAAACATAACTTGAGCTAAAATTGAGACTTGCAACACCTTAAAGCTAGGGAAACCATCAAAATCTGATCTCAACACACATCAAATGCGTGTCAAAATACGGACTTATCAACCACCCCCAACTTTTCGTTGCTTCATGTTCCACAAATAAATCTGACGTAATCAGTTGGTCATTACTTAGTCATGTTTTTTTTGTACAATCAAGGACTAAGAAAATAGTTTTGTTGAGAAAGTCATAATTATTACTCCCTCCGTCCCAGTATAATTGTTCCATTTTTTCATTTTTAATTGGATGTCCCTCTATTATTCACTACAAAAAAACAGGGCAGTAGTCACGAATTTAGTCACGGACCATAGTGTCAAAAATCCGTGACTAACTCTGGTAGTCACAGATTTTTTCCGTGACTAAATGGGCGTGACTAACTGTAGTCACAATCGTTTATCCGTGACTACGCGTAGTCACAGATTAGTCACGGACACGGTCCGTGACTAATTTGTGACCGGAAAAACCCCGACACTTTAGTCACGGCCATGATCCGTGACTAATTTTTATTTTTATTTTTTTATATTAGTTACAGACCCGTTCCGTGACTAATATTTGTATATTTTTAAAAATTCGGACATATTAGTCACGGACAAATCCGTGACTAAGTTTTCAATTTTGGAATAAACCGCCAAATTTTTAGGGTTCAAATTTCCAATTTGTCACGGACATTATCCGTGACTATATTTTTTATTTAAAAAAAACTTTTTAAAATTTTTAAAAGAATTTAAAAATAATTTCTGCAAAATCCGGTCTAAAATTTAGTCACGGCTCAGACCGTGACTAAATTTTTTGATTTAAAAAAAAAGTTTTTTCATTTAAAAAAATTAAAAATTATGTTTTAAATTTTCTTTAAAAAAATTATTTTAAAAAAATAGTTGAAGAATTAACAGACTGGAATAAAAGTAATAAACACACTAGAATACACATTTCATAAACAGACTAGAATTATGATATAAGCAATGTCCAATTTAAATTAAAAATGTATCATTACAAACTCCTCCGGCCGTTATGATAATATCCAGATTCATCATAATTTAGATAATCATCTTCGGTCTCGTCTTCTTCTCGGTTGCCTCCGCGGCTACCTCCACCTTGGCCTCCGCTTTGACCTCCGCGACTGCCTCAACGGCTACCTAAGCGGCTGCCTCCTCCTTGGCTGCCTCCAGATATTTGAAACAGGGTCTGAAAAGGGACATCCTGAAAAGATGCAAATGAAGACAACCCGGACCCGGAGTTGGAACGGAAATAACCGCCCATCTGCGGAACATGAGGAGTCTGCTTAGGGTGCAGTATATACGGCTGAGGCTGAGGCTGAGACCGAAATCCGGCGTTGAGGATCTGTTCCATCGCTTCCAGTCGGGCTATTGTTTCTTCCTCCTTTTTTCGTTGCTCCTCTAAGGAGCGCTGTTGGTCCTCCAATTCCCGCTACATTTGGGCGATACGTGGATCCTCTCCCCGCCTTGATCAAGAAGATGAAGCGCCGCTGCAGTTGTACAAAATCTGTTGCCCCTCAGCCCCCATGCACGGAACCCGACCCTTGTACACCCCTCTAGACATCCCACTGTTCAGCCAGTTGGTGAATGAAAAGGTTGAAGCTTTCTTCTTTGATTGTCTTGGAGGAGGAGGTCTGTGAATACCAGCAGCAATCTGCTTCTGCTTCGTTCTTTCAAAATAGATGGCTGGATCTATAGGGGTAGTTGCTGGTGTCAGAGCTCATGACCTGGGACTGGGACCTTCTGCTTCTCTGGTCCCCTTTCTTCTGGACTCTTCCCCCTTTTGGCATCAACAAGATCACCAAGAAGGAGTTCAAGTTTAGAGAACTGTGAAGCTTGAGAGTCTTTAATCTCTTCCAGAGTGTCAGGGAGAGTTTGAGTGACAGCAGTCAGTCCCTCAATAAGCCCTTGTTGTTTCTCCACAGCTGCTTGGATATCCTTTGAACTGGCTTCCAAGAGGATCAATTTCTGATATCGGTCCTTATCATTCTGTAGCACTTTTAAGGCATGCTCTTTGTGCGTTTTGCAGAGTTCCTCAATGTCCATAAGCTGTTCTTGAGATCTGTCATGTGACCATTGAAGATTATCAACAGCTTCAGATATCTCCTTGATGGCCTTATCTTGAGCAGAGCGGGTCTGGGAATGGGAGAACAGTACAGAGTTGATACTATCTACTTCTTTAGAGATACCATCTATTTTCTCAGTTGATGTTTTCACAAAGGAGGATAGGGTATCTGATAGGGTGGCAACACTTGCAG